ACATGGGATGGGGAGATTCCCCAAGAGTGAAGACAGTCCCTTATGACAGGGTGCACCGGGAACCGTAGCCTCACCTCAAGTGTCCCCACTGTTAACCCAAATCCGTCAGGAAACCAGTCGTATGGCCACTGCCCAGGCCGAGGGGCGTGCTGGCCGTAACACTCCGAGATGCGGTAGCGGTCCCGGAGCACTCTTTGAAGGTCCTCATGTTGAATCTCGTATTTTGATGATGAAACCACTTGATATGTGTTTATGATTTAATCTGCGTTTTGAGTGAAGCAGGATGCTTCGATCAAGATGAGACAATTAAAGTAGGAGGAATTGACGTTGTGCCGGAGGAGATCACGTCAGGATATTGGACGGCAGAAGGCTTCGGACGTTGGGCATCGGGCCAAGGAGAGCGGAATTGTGCCAAGGATATCGGGGTTGCGGAGGTCAACCGCCGATTGGGCAACAAGCCGCAAGAGAGGACGATGCGCTGAAGAATCGGACGAAGCGCCAACCAATGATGTGCCGGGCAATAGAATATCAATTCGCGTTGTAATAATTGTCTAGATCGGAGTAGAGTTTTGGCTTGTGTGTGCAGGATTAACTACGATAACGATGAAGACATAAAGCGAAACAAAGTGTCGAAGTCAAGCGTGAAGGATTCGTTGCAAGTTTGAGAGTTCGATGGAAGTCCGAAGGTTCATCGGGAATGCTGCCGGAACTAGCCGAGAATGAGTAGGGAGCTTGCCGAAGGGTTTTTCGGAAGCTCGCCGGAAGGTTCGTTGGAAGTTCACGGAGCTCACCGAGAAAGATCGAAGCTTGCCGAAGAAGCTCGTTGGAACTCGCCAAGATCAAATCGTGAAGTCTAGGAGCTTGCTGGGAGTCAGCAGAATGGTTTCTGAGAGTTTATCGGAAGACCGCCGGAAGTTCGTCGGAAGAAGTCTTGACTTGCGGACTTTGTAATAGCTTAGGAAATGTCTTTAAATTCGTAGTTAGCACATTAATTAGGGTTAGGATTAGGTGTTAATCCTATAACCCAAGTAGGGACCAATTGGGCCCGAGTTCGAACTGGTTTGGGCCAAGTTTGGAGCCCAACCAGTGAGCTAAAATAGTGTAGGTGGTGGCACCGCCAGATTAGGTGGTGGCACCGCCAGATTAGGTGGTGGCATCACCCAGAACCCGAGAACTGAGCGGTGGCACCGCTGGACTGAGTGGTGGCACCGCCCAACACCCGAGAGGTCCGGCGGTGGCACCGCCAGACTGGGCGGTGGCACCGCTAGTACACTATCAGTGTCAGACACTGATAGGCGGTGGCACCGCCACTGACAGACGATGGCACCGCCACCGACAGGCAGTGGCACCACCAGCCTCGGAAACCCAAGAGAATTCAAAATTTGGAGCCCAAATTTGAATCCTCTTGGGGCCTATAAATACCCCTCAATTCTCAGCAGAGAACACAACCTTTGGGAAGTTAGAAATTGAGAAAATTTAGCAAAAGTCTTGTTTTCAATAGTTTGAGTGTTCACTCCCTCTTTCTCTTTGAAAATTTGTAAGAGTGTGAACCACTTGTAAAAGGTTGTAAGAGGGGTATTTGTCCTTTCCCTTCAAAGTGATTTGCTAGTGGAAGTTGGGAGCCTTATTGAAGAAGGCTTCGCAAGTGGATGTAGGTCATTTTGACCGAACCACTTTAAATTGATGTGTTCCTTGAATGTGTGAGTATTTACTTTTCTAAAACCATTATTTACATTGCAGCAAGCTTTCAGTTTTCATCTACTCAAGTTACTATCAAATCTAAATCTCTCTGCATTTTACGGAATCATTTTTAAACTTATAAGTTTTAATCCGCTGCACTAATTCACCCCCCCCTCTTAGTGCCGCTCCGATCCTAACACCTCGGTCACCACTGAGTCCACGTCATGCCATGACTTGAGGGCCTCAAGCACGACGGAACCCTCTGAGGAGGCGCTACCCGAAGACACACTCACCACCTCATCCCGGGAACTTGCAGAAGGAGGAGAAGGAGAAGGAGAAAGAGAGGGAGGAGGAGGCGAAAATGAAGACAAAGACGAAGACAGAGACATCCCGACCTCAGAGTTGTGAGGAAGAAGCCCGGGGTTCGGGGCGAAGGATTGAAGCAAAGAGGATGACGAATTTGCAAGAAAGAGCTGAAGCACGAGACGAAAAACTGATGGCAAAGGTGATGGCAACCGCCTTGAATGGGGATTATAAAAGGCGAGTAACCCACGGTGAGGTGGCGATTAGGGCTTCCCTAGGAGAGGAACAGTCACAACATTAAAGACTCGTCGCAACCCCTCGGATCTGCCAGATTCGCCCGCCTCGGAGCTCTCGCCAGAGGCGTCCCATCACTCGAGACCCTCCGCCGAAGGCCGTTCAAAACGAAGTTTCCTGCCAGGCCCCGTGATGTTCCACCCGACCCGACATGTGGCACGATGACATTCAGGTATGAATTGGCCCACATGTTCGATTCCTGCCCGGGTTGCTCCAGATCGCTCTCGATTAGCGACCCGCCGACACCAAAACCTGAACCAAGCTTAATCACTCGGCCCCCAGGTTCGATTCTTGCCCGGGTCGCTCCAGATCGCTCTCGACTGGCGACCTGCCGACACCAAAATCGGAACCGAGCTTAATCACTCGGCCCCCAAGTTCGATTCCTATTCAAATCGCTCCAGATCGCTCCCGACTGGTGACCCATCGACATCGAAATCAGAACCAAGCTTAATCACTCGACCCCCAGGTTCGATTCCTGCCTAGGTCGCTCAAGATTGCTCCCGATTGGCGACCCGTTGGCACTAAAATCGGAACTGAGCTTAATCACTCGGCCACCAGGTTCGATTCTTGCTTGGGTCGCTCTAGATCGCTCCTGACTAGCGACCCGCTGGCACCGAAACTGGAACCGAGCTTAATCACTCGGCCCCTAGGTTCAATTCCTGCCCAGGTAGCTCCAGATCATTCTGGACTGGCGACCCGCCGGCACCAAAACTGAAATCGAGCTTAATCACTCGGCCCCTAGGTTCGATTTCAGCCCGGGTCACTCCAGATAACTCCCGACTGGTGACCCGGTGGCACCAAAACCAGAACTGAGCTTAATCACTCAGCCCCCAGGTTCGATTCCTGCCAGGATCGCTCTAGATCGCTCCCGAATGGCGACCTGCTGGCACCAAAATCGGAACCGAGCTTAATCACTCGGTCCCCAGGTTCGATTCGGAGCTGAGCTGACTCACTCAATCCCCAAGTTCAATTCATAGCCGAGATTACTCGCTCAGTCCCCAGGTTCAAATCCGGAGCCGAGCTTACTCACTCGGTCCCCAGGTTCGATTCGGAGCTGAGCTTACTCACTCGGTCCACACGTTCAAATCCGGAGCCGAGATTACTCACTCGGTCCCCAAGTTCGATTTGGAGCCGAGCTGACTCGCTTGGTACCCAGGTTCAATTCGGAGCCGAGCTTACTCACTCGGTCCCCAGGTTCAAATCCGGAGCCGAGCTTACTCACTCGGTCCCCAGGTTCAATTCAGACCGAGCTTACTCACTCGGTCCCCAAGTTCAATTCGGAGCCGAGCATACTCACTTGATCCCCAGGCTCAATTTGGAGCTAAGCGTAGTCACTTGGTCCCCAGGTTTGTTTCTTGCCCGGATCACTCCAGATTGCTCCCGACTTGTGACCCGTCGGCACCAGAACCAGAACTGGATTCGATCACTCGACCCATAGGCCCGATCCATCACCCGAGCTACACCTCATGGCCATTCTTATGCTCGAGTCATATCTCGGTCGATCCAGCGCCCGAATCACCGGCCTACCCCATTATCCAAGTCACTTCACGTCGACTCTGATTCGTCGCCCGACAAGTCTTTAAACCGAGCCGCCTCGATTCGCTTGCCGACTTGCAAACTCGGCAGCCGTAGCTCCGAGCCATGCGAAACCCGTCATCTGAACTGAGACACGTCGGGTTCGCTCAGCAAGTCTTACCTGGCCGATTTTGACACTTAGGTATCACCTCATCAGGCCCCACCGTTCGATTAGCAGGATTAGTCCTATCCAAATCATGGGGCGTCGCCCCTCTAAAATTGCCCCCCGATGAGTTAATCCAGCTTTCCCGCACAGGCAACCAGCACAATCGCGTCCTTCAGCCCCAGGCATGCCTCCCGGTCCATTAGGGACCCAGCGGCACGCCTTGGAGGGGGGGAGGGGGAGAAGTGATAAGGCGTATTTTAGTCCCCGGATGAGTCACCACCGACGTCACACGCCACGTTCCAACCAATGTCAGAATCCGACGCCGCACGCCATCAGAACCCTGTGACACACGTCAAGCCAGGTTTCGTATCGAGATACTATGCGACACTACTATCCCGAGGGCTCGGGGCGGTGCCGTCTGACGTCACTCAGGCATCCCCCAAGACGCCAGCTCGTCAGAAAAGCCATCCCATTTCACAAATATCAACGACCACACCGAACCAAGACACAACCAATCCTCGCACAATAGTATATAAACCTCTGGCCGACGCCCGGCGAGAAGGGAGGAAACAACTCGATATAAAAATACTCCACTGACTTGCTTGTCGGAGGGGCCAAAGTCGGAAAACACCCGACGAAGGCCATTTTGCAGGAAGGCAGACACCCCCAAACGACGAGCGCCTCAACCCTGGAATTGTCATCCAGTACATGAGGACGCACTGCCATTCATTCCGGAGTTGGAGAGATGTGTCTCACCACAAACGACGCAAGAGTTGACAAACCGAGAAACGCTGATCAACATCCTCTCACGAGGGCCCAGTCGACTCCGCCAGCCCGACCCTTGCCCGAGTCGCTCCGAAATGGCTACCCTCGAGTGGCGAACCGACCAACGCCGATCAACATTCCTTCCCGAGGGCGCGACCATCTCATCATTCTACTCACTCCGTAAGAAACTACCGACATCGATCCGCGGACCGACCAACTTTTGTTCACTAACAATCGGCAAACAGGTTACTTGATTTCTGGTATAGTAACCGAGCGGATCAAAGATTAGAAGAAGTCTTCAGTACGTTTCGATCGGCGATCGATTTAGGAAACCGAGGCAAATAGGGAAAAAAAAAGCAAAAACACGACGACTGCTAGTGGATTTAGCCATTGAGAGAGATGGCAGCCGACCTTCGAGGACGAAGGCGTCGAGGAGAGAGCTGGTGTTTGGCGCTCGAAAGAAACGGGAGTCGGAGGGTATGTTGTTGTCGTTGTTGTTGTTAGGGTTCTTCCCTCCGTTGCTTCCTCTGACGTGGCTCCGCCGCTTTTGTTAGAACACCCAGCCTCCATCCTCCCATTGCTCCACTCTCGACGGTCAACGCACTCCCATTTCTCACTAATCTCTTCAAATAGTTTCTATTAGAAGCCGTGCCGAGAGAGACAGCGAGGGAGACCTGCGGCCCTGTCACCCTTCTTCGAACCTTTACCGGAATATAGCTGTTTAACATCTTCTATGTACTATTATTTGTTTCTATTATGATTATTTCATCATTATAACAAATATTTTCATTATGTGTGTTTTGTAGCGCTTTGCTTGTATCCTCTTTTAATATCCACATATTTGCAGATTAGACCTCTTGATATATTTTCTTTTGTTTCCATATGTTTCATTTGGTAAATTTTAGTGGCTGTTTCTCTGGATATGTTTGCGCTGGAGGTTTTTTTATTTGTTCTCCAGTTCACCATGACACAATCTAAATTATTTGCACACATTTTAGGAGTTGCTATTTTGCGAGCATGGTGAACCTAAAATTGATGGAGAAGCTTGGAGATCTCAAGTTTTTGTTTTTTGTTTTACTTTTTTCTGAAGTATTAGATTGATTGATTTAAATAACTTTTCACTAAAGGCAGAATTGCATTGAGAAGTTCAGAATTTGAACATTAACACATCAATGCTTCAGAAGAGAGGGCAATGACTTGCATATGAATGTGACTATCTCGCTGGTACTATTTTCTATTTTAGTCTCTCTGAATGTCCCCTTCTAAGCTGTGTTACTGATTCTATACAACATATCTTCTAGCCTGCCCTTTTCTAATGTTCTGTTTGGAGCTGTGGCTGCTCTTATTTAATCTGCGAATGTAGTTCAATACATGTACACAAGAGGGTCAAAATAGTTGTTTTAAGTTGTTATAAGCAGTAGCAACTCATAAAAATTGCATGTTAATGACCAACATCTAAATGGATTTTATGGTTGTTAGTGAACAAAAGTATCGTGGCTGCGAGTCAGCACGGTTTGGTCCGCTGGCCAACGTTGGGAACTTCTGGTGGAATGAGTAGGATGATGAGGTGGCTGTGCCTCTTGAGCGTCTCGAGCGAGGGTTGGACCGGCAGGGTTGGTTGAGTCCTCGCGAGTGGCTGGGGGTTGGCGCTCCGAGGCCTGCCGACTTGGGTGTTGTTTATGGCGGGATGTGTCCTCTCGTCCCCGGGATGGTTGGCAACCTTTCTTCGCGACGTGGGCGTGCCCTTGGGATGGGAGGCACAGGCTGGCGTTGGTTGGGATCCGAATCGACGGACCACCCTCTTCCGCGCACCAGATGGCGATTTCGGGGTGTAGACTCCCGTCGCTCGGGGGCGACCACCTCCCTGCAAAAAGGCTTTCATTGGGTGCTTCCCGACTTTGGCCCCTCAGACGAGCAAGTCAGTTCAGTTTGCCCTTTTGTGTTTCTTCTCCTTTTCTTTTTCCCCCTCGACCGGGCATCGGACGAGGGTATTTATACCTGCATGCGAGGGTTGGTCGTGCCTCGGATCGGCGTGGCCGTTGACTTTTGTGGGGGCGGGACGACTTCTCTGACGAGATGGTATCTTTGGGGGTGCTTGAGTGGCGTCAGACGGCTCTGCCCCAAGAGCAAACGGCACCGCCCCGAGCTCTCGGGGTGGTTAAGTTGCACAGTGTATTGGTATCAAACTTGACGTGGCGTGCACCCCGTGGTTTTGACGGCGTGTGGCGTTGCGTTGGTGGCTGATGGTGTGTGGTGTTGCTGGTGATTCATCTAGAGCCAAAATATGCCCTATCACTTCTCCCCCCTCTCTCCGGGGCGTGTCGACGGATCCCCAACGGACCGGGAGGCATGCCTGGGGCTGAGGGACGCGATTGTATTGGGTGTCTCCTTGGGAGAGGTGAATTGACTCGTCGGGGGTGATTATGGGGGTAGGACCCCATGATGCAGGCAGGACCGACCCTGCTAATTGAACGGTAGGGGCCTGAAGCGAAACCGAAGCGTCGAGGTCATTGCGGGGGGTGACTTGGATAGTAGGATGCGACTCGGGTGTTCAATTAGCCGCAAGGTGTGGCTTGGTCGTTGGAGTCGGGCCCGTGGGCCGAGCGATTACGTCCGGGCTCAGGTTTTGATGTCGGTGGGTCACAAACTGAGAGTGATTTCGTACGCTTTGGACGGGAGCCGGATTTGGGGGCCGAGAGGGTAGATTCGGCTTTGAATCCTGGGGACCGGATAAGTTCGGATCCGATTCTAGTCCAGGGACCAAGTTTGTGAGCTCGGCTCTGAATTGAGTCGGGGGACCGAGTTTGTGAGCTCGGCTCTAGATTGCGTCTGGGGACCGAGTTTGTGAGCTCGGCTCCGAATTGAGTCTGGGGATCGAGTTGTGAGCTTGGCTCCGAATTAAGTATGGGGACCGAGTTTATGAGCTCGACTCCGGATTGAGTCTGGGGACCGAGTTTGTGAGCTTGTCTCCGAATTGACTCTAGGGATCGAGTTTGTGAGCTCGGCTCCGAATTGAGCGCTGGCAGGTCGCCAGTTGGGAGTGACCTGGAGCGACCCGGGCAGGAATCGAGCATGGGTTGCTGATGGGTCCGCAGTGGGGAGCGATCTTGAGCGACCCGGGGAAGGATCAAGCTTGGGTGCTGACAGGTCGCCAGTTGGGAGCGATCTAGAGCGACTCGGGGAAGGATCGAGCTTGGGTGCTGACGGGTCGCCAGTCAGGAGCGATCTAGAGCGACCCGGGGAAGGATCGAGCTTGGGGTGGTGACGGGTCGCCAGTCGGGAGCGATCTGGAGTGACCCGGGGATGGATCGAGCTTGGGGTGGTGACAGGTCGCCAGTCGGGAGCGATTTGGAGCGACCCGGGGAAGGCTCGAGCTTGGGGTGGTGACGGGTCGCCAGTCGGGAGCGATCTGGAGTATCTGCTGGTGCCACAACGATGGTGGATCGTCTAAGGGGTATCTTGTCCTCTTCTCGGGTAATAAAAGAGATGATCGAGGAGCGGATGGTTGGAGCTGAGTTGAGCCCCGCCACCGAGGCTATGGCCGTTCATATATAATGGCTCATTCGTTCATCCCATGCCGTCTGACCGCTGTCTATTCTTGCAGAAATGGTGGACCTATGATCAATGAAGAAGATGGCCAGCACCAGGGTCGTCGAGCCCCCGTCTCGGGACGGGGAGGGCTCTGGAGGCGGGATTGTCCGACTGGAGGGTACGTCAAAGAGGGCGCCGGCATCATCGGCATCGGAGCGCCCTCCCAAGATAATGAAGATGGCAGTTCGAAAGACGCTGGCGAGTCGAGCCACTTGCTCGAGTGCCTCCTTGGCATCGCCTGGGATCCCTGCACAGGGGGAGGGCTCGGCGAGTAAGAAGGGGAAGGGGTCGGCTGGGTCGTCCGGTAGCGACCCTTCCAGGAGGGGGCCGGCATGCCTCCTACCGGTGCGGGAACTGTGCCGCATCTTCTCCTGGCCCGAGGGCGGGCAGTTCCAAGCCCAGCTTATGGTCGATCTTCCGGTCGGGGAGCCGGGAGCCCCCTACACCACCCGGTGGTCGACTCTGAAGGCCGACAGCTGCCCCTGGGGCGATGGGGAAACCGCCCAGGAGTTCGTCCGAGGGGCGCTGCACCCCTCGCTGGCCAAGGACCTGTACTGCTCCGACTCGAAGGTGTTGGTAGAACGGGCGGCCAAGTCGCTCGTCTGGGTAAGTGATCGCCTCTCCTTCTCGCCGATTCTTTCCTTTGTGGATGCTGACAATGATTCTCATGCAGAGCCTACACTACGGAATGGCACTGATCGACCGGGTCCTTGACGCTGGTTGGGCGATTGGGCGTTAGATGGAGCTCGACGATGCCCTCCGGAAGGTGAACCTAGAGTTGCAAGCCAAGGGGGTCCGGAGGCGGTTGCCGCGGCCGAAGAGCGCGCCACAGCGTTGGAGGAGGAGGTGGCTCGTTTGAAGACTGAGCTAGAAGAAAGCCGGTCACACATCCGTTCGTTGGATGACGAGCTACTGACCCTCTCCCAGGACGTCGAGGCCGCCAAGGCGATGGCCCGAGCCGCCAAGGAGGCACTCAAGGAGGAGCGACTAGGGTTGCCTAGAAGGGTCGAGGAGGCGATCGCCGGGTACAAAGCGTTCGCCGGGTTCGAGCGTGGCCTGGTGAGGTCGGGCTGGGTCACGTACGAGTACGGGTATCGGGTGGCCCGTGCTCATTTTCGGGCAAAGTACTCGGACCTGGACCTGGACCTGGAGTCAGACCCTTTTGTTGACAACCTGGCGGACTAGGACGTCGACATGCCGGCGAACGTCCCCTTCGACGACGGGCCAACGACTCCTCCCTTGAGTTAGGGGTTGCACCCCCTCACCTTTTGAGTTTTGTTTTCCTTCCCCCATTTTTTTTGTCTGGTCGGGCTTGGGGCCATGTCGCCCGACCGCTATATGTACCTCCTTTATGATCGAGAAGCACTTTCATTTTAGAATTCTGGCTTGCTCTTCTCCCCGACCGTGGATGCGCGGGCTCCCACATCTTTCCTGCACCCCGACTATCCCCCCCTTAAGGGTAGAATTTCTTCAGGTTCGTGGCATTCCATGTTCTCGGCGGGGGATTTTTCCCTCCATAGTTTCGAGTCGGTAGGTTCCTTCTCGTACCATGTCGTAGACTCGATAGGGGTCTTCCCAGTTGGGTGCAAATTTTCCCCTTACTCGGGTCGGGTTTTGCTTACTTCTGCTCTTCGGAGGACGAGGTCTCTAACCTGGATCGGTCGTGGATGGACCCTTCGGTTGTATATCCGAGCAGTCGCCTTCTTGTATGCTAGGGCGCGCAGGTGTGCCCTGGCTCTTCTCCGCCCTGGCTCTTCTCTCCTCAAGGAGATCCAGGTTATCCCGCAGTCCCTCCTCAGAGTGCCCTCGCTCATAGTTGGAGGTGCGTAAGGTCGGGAATACCATCTCGGGCGGAAGGACCGCCTTAGTCCCAAACGCCAGGCTAAACGGAGACTCCCCCGTAGCGGTTTTGGGAGTTGTTTGCATTGCCCATAGGACGCTGGGGAGCTCGTCCTCTTGAGGCCTTCAAGGATTGCTCGATTCATCACTTCAGTCTGGCCGTTGGTTTGGGGGTGTGCGACCAAGCTAAACTTTAACTGGATTCCGTACGTCTGGCAATAAGCCTTGAATTTAGTGTCGTTGAACTGAGTCTCGTAGTCGGCGATGATAGTCTTCGGGATCCCGAATCAGGTGATGATGTTCTT